CCATTACAGTTTTTCTTTAGAAAAGAAAGACAGTAAATGCCCATCATTGTCTTTACACTACTGCAAGCTGTAATCACAGCATACATGTGAGCATACAGCGCAAGTAAAACTTGAGTTATAATGTGGCCAGTGGCAACAGCTGGATTAATATGAGCACTTCCGTTTGGTCAAATGTACGCCGTTTGTTGACTGTAAGCGTGAACAGTATTTTGTAGTCATTTCACAGCTACAACATGTACTTGAGACCAGCAGCTCCTGCTGATCATCTGGCAAGAATGTGGTAAACCCAAGACGCGAATTTAACAGTGCCAAAAAGACTTCCTCAAAACGCCCACTGAATGCACACGATAAACACCGACTTTTTGCATGCCTGAGCCTTGATAAAAATAGCGGTAGTCTAAAAACAAGAAAACCCCCCAAAACAAAACACCAGAATCGAGTGTTACAAGCTCACCGCGACATTAATGCATCGGCCTCCAGCGTGAGGAAAAGAAAAGGACCGATTTAACAGAGAGATTTGGAATATGTGGATTTACTGCCAACTAAATTTACTGTTATCTTTTCAGCATTGAGCTCTGGGATGCATCCCACTCTCAGTTTCACAAACAGAAAGCATTAATTATGTTTAGAAAACCGATATTTAGTGACACTATAAAAAGTGATCGATTTCATCAACAAATTAAAGTGCTTTTTGAGATGAGCACTAAAATGTTAAATTTCAAAATATTAATATGCATGTTTGGGGAGAAAAATAATAATAAAAAAGGAAAGATAATAGGATCTCCTAAGCTATTATGAACTGAGAAAAACAAATATTAGAGGTAGAATAACATACTGGAATCAGCAAGCAGCCTTTCAGGAAACAAGACAGCTTTACGGTATCACATCAGAGGTCAATATTTGTCTTTTCTCTGTTATGTAACATTACAGTGTTAGCTAATCATTCAAAGACTGAAGGTTTTTTGAAGAGCTGAAAGACTGAAAAGAATATTAAAGATTAGTTTATTTCCCCACAGTAATTAAAAATACTGTGGGAGGAAATATTAATTATTATCCTACAGTAAGTAATTATTGCTGAAAGAAAAATTAGCAATGGAACAGAATCTTATAAAAATAGATGAAAGTAACATTTTTTCCAGCTCTATATTAGGCCAGTTAATGAAATAAATAATTATGGACCTAACGGAGTTCAGTATCAATTGATGCCTACTGTCAAAACCGTTTTCATACATCAACTTTAGACTTTGTGTTGAGACGCTGACTCACACCTGGTCACTTTTGGTAGTTTAAAGGTAGGTGTGGTACTTGGGTTGAGCACATGATGCACATACACACCCCTGCAAGCAGCATTAACGTTAAAAGGCTGGTGACTTGTGCTTAATTTTATAACCGCAAAAAATGTCTGTGTTTACATGTAAACTCTGGGATAGAGTTACAAAGTGCAGAGACTTCACTTGGATTCTGCAAGAAAGTTTGATCCTCCCACACAGAGGAGCACTGTCTATATGTGCTTTACTGGTTGCTTAGAAGGCAAGGTTTTCCATTTTTTAAAGTAGTGCATTACTTAAATACACCTTTTCAATCAATTAGTCATAAATAGCAGGAAATTTGACAAACTTCTGTTAAGTGATCGAAGACAGACTCATCACCATTACTACAAGTGGACTAACCATGCTCTTGAGCTTACTCAAACCCACACGGGGTCATTATGAGCCAGGAAAAGACAGCTAACGGGGTATTAAAAGTCACCAAGTCTAGTGACAAAGTTGCTTAGTTTGCAGCAAATTAGGCGAACTAAGGAGGGATGGTCACTGCTGGGTGGGAGAGTGACGTCACCACTTTAAAAAAAAAAGAAAAAGAAAAAAAGATGAGTTTGAAAATTTCACAACACACTCTACCCAAAATGGTCCAGTTACTGTGCTGTGACCTTTCCAAGAACCTCATGGGAAGCAGCAGTGCATTCAGCTTCCTAAAAATCCTCAAACATCATGCTTTTGGTCCGAGGAATGAGGAAGTGATGTTCAGTAGGTGTAAAGCAGTTCTTTGAGTAAACAGGACTGACAGGATCACAGAGGTGAAGCGCCACCCATCCTTCCATTCAATGAAAGAGGTGCGACTGTTTCTGCGAAGTTTTTTGGGTTTCTTTGGGAACCTTTGGGTGACAAAAACTCTTAAAAGTGTCTTTAAACCACTGACTATTATTACTTAACTCTGTGTTTCAAGCCTGTCCCTCAGTTTGGTCAGCCGCTCAACCCCCGTAAGACGAAACGTTTAAAGCAGTTTTGATTAACAAAAAATAAATAAACACAAATTTCAGTTTCAGTGCTCTGGTGCAATTTAAATGGCGCTGGTGGCAACTTTAAGCCACCAAGCAGTAGAAAAGAAATTATTTTAATCTCCTTTAAGGTTTTATGGGTGAGTTGGAGCTGTGTGACGTTAACGCTAAGTGACAGCTCATTGACGCTAGCTTGCTAACTGTGCTATGGTCGAGAACCAGCGGAATAACGCGTAATATTAGCCATTTAGATCACAGTGAGCTCAAAAACGCCACCGCCTAATACAGTTATTGATTACTGTTTAATAAGGGTGTGTACCCAGCGGTCAAAAACTTCTTAAGTCAACACAATGGTGCTAAAGTTAAACTGCTAAGGAAACAGCTTATGAACTTTAAAGTATCCTGCTCAAAGCGTCTACAACTTCAAACCAACCGAGCTGCAGGACTTAAACATCAGCGGCCTTCTTCTGTGTTCAAATGAAATACATATTCATAAGGCTTAACTATATAGTATTTTTCAATGAAAAGAAAAATGTTACCTTCACTGGCGCTTCTCGATGCTTCTACACCACCGATCCGGTTCAACAACAAAATGGCGTTTTCCGGCGACGTCGTGTTCTTCTTCGTCACCATTTTCTTCTTCGTGTGATTTGTAGCGGCTGAAAACATTAAAATCGAGGGTTTGCTTCACCAAATGGTGAGAAGGTGACATTACAAGCTTAGTGCAGGACTGCAAAAGTCTTCAGTATCTTAAAAAAACATAGTCTTCAGCAATAATCCTCCAGGCTTTCCGAGGTCTTTAAACTTTTTTTTCCTTTGGACATTTGGCTGCCTTTCCACTCATTTTAAATAAATTTTAAATAATAAGTTATTTTGTGTAGCAAGGTTATATTAATAACCTAGCAAATAAATAATTTTGAACTATGTCTATAGGCACTTTGTTACTAGTAATCTGTTGCAAAAGCACAACTGTTACCACAATTCTAGGTGAATCTATAAAAAGTAACAAAGAAAACACATAAACAATCACTAACAAGGTGATTCCCAAAAGGTTATTATCCAGAAATCTGACATAACCTGGGTTGATGTCCTTGAACGAATTTGATGAAACTAGACAAGTGGAGGACAGAAGAAGTAGTGGCTGGCTTGAAAAAAAAAACCCTATAAAGAAAAAACTATCTACGGCAGATGAAGAGTTTCTGAAAGTCATGTCCTTCAGAAAAAGAAAAAATCCTCCCAAAGACTGACACAGGACCTGAGAGATGGGATTGAGATGATCCTATAATTGATCCATCTAATTCAGGAAACAAAGACTCAGGTATGGCAAATCAGGCAACAGCTGGACTCAAGATTTATTGATTTATTTAAAGAGAAAAAAAAATCAAATTAAACATTTTTGGTTCAAATCATAATTAGTACAGAGGAGTTCAGGAGAGGAGCATGTACAAAACATAGTGGAGACTCCACAATGATTTGGAGCTTCATTTTAGCCAGTGGCATTGGGAATCTTGTCAATATTGATTGAACTATAAATTCAGTATCACCAGATTCTAAACCAATACCATGGGGAGTGTCTGGTTGGCAACAGCTTCCCTTTTCAGCATGATGATTTCAGGCTGCATTGAAGAATAAAGGCAACCATCCCAAATATTGACTTTTCAGCTGGTCAGTATTGTGCAAATTCAGTTTTTCCCGTATAGACTGTATTCCTGTGTTTGCAGACATCACCTATTTTTCTCGCAAAATATAAAAAAAGTAGGGTTTACTCAAGACTTTTGCTGTTGGCCTCTGGATGGATATATCCAATCATATAATTAATAAAAAATTGATAAAGTAATATTATTGAGTATTAAGCTATAATTTACAACATAATTTTACAGACTTTTCCATTAAAGGATGGGACTGCCTTAACAAAAAAAACCCTCCATGCCTCCTTCTTTAGCTTAAACGTGAATCAAATGTAGATACACAACCAAACCATTAGTATTATTGTCTCTATGTTCATTTGTATTCCCAGATTTATTCTTTATTTCAAAAATCCTCTAGATGGGGCTCCATCCATGCCTGTTTTTTCTTTTTCTTTTTTTTTCCTTCGACTGTTTGGGACCAGATGGAATAGGTTTGATTGGAATAACAGACTTCAGTGTCTGATTCTGTCCTTTAATTTCAGAACTATTTTCAGACACGGATCCTTTGCTTTCTAGTCATGCGGGGGTTTTTTTAAATCCTTTTTTTTTCTTTCAGTGTGTTTGCAGGATCACTGAATTTATACTCTTTAATAATACAATATAAGAACTTATATGTTAAGCAAAGAAAAAATCTTTTTGCTTTCTGAGCCCCTTTGATCAGACAGATGCTTGCTGTTAGATAACCATCATCATGCATATAGACCCTATGTCTGAACAGTTCTACTGTTTATTCATTGCTTCAGGTAACTGACAGTCCTACTCAAACTTTAGATTCAATTAAATTAAGTTTTAATTGTATTATTATTATTATTATTATTATTATTATTATTATTATTATTATTGTTATTATTATTATTATTATTATTATTATTATTATTATTATTATTATTATTATTATTATTATTATTATTATTGTGAGCTGATCTTGCATCTTCTGGGTGGCGTTACAGTGGGAGGGAACATACAGTAGCAATGTTGAGAGAATCCAATGACAGTGCGGCAGGATGATGTACCCTCCCCTAAGAGTCCTGCCTCCCAGCGGACCAGGGCGCCTGGCGCAGCGGATTGAGGGTCTGAGTGCATGAGGGGCCCCTTAAAGAGAAGCGCCGAGCAAACGGCACGGACTTTCTCTATTGAAGAATCAGCGAGATGAGGAACAGCGCCAACCCGGCATCATGCGCTCCAGGCTCCCGAGGACCGCCTGCCTATTGCGAATCATTGCACTCTGCATCCTTCTGTCGCACACTGCAGCTTATTTTGGGTCAGGCAATGAACTTTTACTTGTACATTTCATCTCGGTTGTTTGGCTTTTCTGTTTAAATCATTAGAAGTGACCACAGCCACAACCTTTACAAGCTTTAGCTGAATTACGCACGCGTAATTATATTTTTATAGGGCTGTTCGAAGTCCATGTACACGCTAATATGTTCCACTGAAACAAAAAAAAAAAATCCATATTCGCAATTTCAAATGTATTTTAAGGTAAATGAACATAAAAGTTTTATTCCTGGATTTTCTTCGAGATAGAAAATACCGTTGTGGGAACACATTTGTAATAACAACATATGCTGGAGTGGTGACAGAATAGTTTCATTACTGTGGACGCAGTGTTGGTGTATTTTGTCACACACATACAATTTCTAATGTGATTTTTCCCCCTCTTCTATAATCCTAGACTGACAGGTCGGGAACCTCTGGTGTTTTTACCAGCTCCGTTTTCCAATGAAGCTCCATCAGGAAAGGCCCACCTGAAGCAGTGCGAACAAATGACTCTGACGAGGAGACAGAAGAGACTCTGTCGCAGGGAGCCGGGCTTAGCCGAGACGCTTCGGGAGTCGGTGCGCCTCAGCCTCCTTGAGTGTCGGTATCAGTTCAGAAACGAACGCTGGAACTGCAGCCTGGATGGACGGGGAAGTCTTCTGAAAAGAGGTGAGCCACTTTAACACTTTCCTTAATTTTGGGTTCTTGCTCAAGGTCACTGAGAAAGTCGGAAATTCTCTTTTATCTAACTACAAATTATATATGTCTTCGTCTTTATTTACCTGCAGTGCATGGCTGAGCAGTAAGAACAGGATGTTTTATAGATAAGCACACCTGTAGTGCTGCAGGCATGTTTTTGTCGACATAAGCTCATCAATCAAAAAGTGAAAATGAGAAAAATGAACCAGTAAAAAAAATTATGCGTAAACGTTTTACCACCAGTTTAACAGCTGTAAAAGTTTGTAAACAATAAGGTTTCTTGTTCAAATTTAACAAAATAATTAAACTGATATTTTCTATTTTATTTCAAACAATACAACATTTTACAAGCCCTTTTCTCACACAGGGAAGCAACTTTTTCAATAAGATGTATTACATGCTGTACAAGATAGAAACTGAATATACACCCGTTTATAAGTTTTTACAGGTTCTTTGTTTTGTTCCTAATGGTCGTTTGTTGCATTTCTAAATAAACAATTGAGACATGAGCTTCAACTATTTGCAGCAAAGTGCTGAAAATGATTACTGTATAAAAAAAAAAAAGCTTGGTAAGTTATTTTGCTCGAGAAAACCAGTGACAAAATTAATTTTCTTCATCTCATTTAAAGTTAAAAATGCTCCTAAGTCATTCTGTAGTACCAAAGAATGTGTCAAGATAACACTCGGTAACTCCTCTGAACCCCTTGACTTGATACAACCTTTTAAAGTTTTTGAGAAGCTGCTTACTTGAATACTTTATAATTTACATGGCTTGATACACCTATTGATTAGCTACCGTTGGATCACCATATTGCATATAGCTCAAAATCCCTCCTGTGCACATAAACTCCTTTAGGATCTTCTAAGCTTTATGCATATGGATATCAGCGTGTGGGAGAACATGAACAGGTCAGCACAGAGGTAATGAGGGAGTAGAAAGCCAAGAAATGTGGTGCGGTTGCAGAGTGCTCAAGCCCTGTGGTTATTTTTATCTCGGGAAAGTGGCCATTCCCAGAGGAAAAGGGTGGCGTGATTACCCACTTTCATCTGGGAAAATCCTTCCTAGTCAAAATAATAATTAATTGGATCAAAATATACCATGGTGATGGCTCTGGGTGAAGCAAATAACAGTGCAAAACCAAAAGGAAATGTCAGGAGAGGAATTGCGACGTAAGAAAACTTGCAGAATTGCTGATGTTGTTGTAAACCCTGACAACACATCGAGTCCTCTGTAAACATTCTGGCTTAAAAGGTTAATCGGTGACGCAAAAAGCATTTTGTCGTAAATTTTGTTCTTTCAGAGCAAATGTTTCGGAGCACCAATAGCTTTTGCATCCAAAGCCTTGAAAAAATGTAGCTTTAAATATTTTTTCTTTTCTTCCACCTCCCCTGATCCCTCTGCCACAGCTTTCAAGGAGACTGCATTCCTGCTGGCTGTGTCCTCTGCAGCACTGACCCATGCACTTGCCAAAGCATGCAGCTCAGGTCGAATGGAGAGGTGCACTTGTGACGATTCCCCCGGGATCCAGCATCGGGAAGCGTGGCAGTGGGGGGTCTGTGGTGACAACCTGAAATACAGCACCAAGTTTCTCAAAAAGTTCCTCGGCCAAAAGAGGGTCAGCAAGGACCTGAGGGCTCTGGTGGATGCCCACAACATCAACGTTGGAATTCGGGTGAGTGTAGAAATATTACATCAATTATTCTGCAGCAAAACAGCTTACTCCTTGAAGCCTGAGGCGACAAAACGTACGCCTTAGCAACACTCAGTTCGATTAATTGTTCTGCGATTTTACCTGACAATTACACCTCTGACGCAGTCCCGAGTATCAAATGTTATTGAACTGTAATCCTCGCCTCTATATTTTTCATGGTGCCAGCCAGATAAATGCTCTCTGATTTGGTGCTGTCATCGGCCCGAGCGGATAATACAGAGGCAGAGGGTGAGGCAGTTGTAGTGAGGAGACAAGATGGCTGTGGGATGGTTGGAGCCAGGTGTTTTCAGGCATGATAAAGCTTGCTGTGCGGGCCAGCAGAAAATTAAAGGTCTCATTTCAGAGAGAACGATTATAACCGTGGCCTCTTTTTAATATACGAGCAAGCATTTTTTTCCACTTACTGGATCACTGTGCTCTTCATAAATCCACCTAATGTTCATAACCACCACTGTGTAGCTGTGAAATAGCAGGCCCCAGGGTCCTACTCCTGTAGCTCACACCTAGACAAGGCTGATGTGGAGAAAAAGGAAAAACACAACTATCTTATCTAATCTTTACTGAGTTAAATGTTTTCCTCAGTTGACACCAGTGTGGCCAGAAGAGACCAGGAGCCATGTTAACAAAAACTTAAAGTGGTCGGCATCCCTCATCTCACATTAATGGTGTTCTGAAGCCCCCGAGGGGTTCATGCCTGCAAAAGGAGGAACTGAGCAGAAGTACCTAGAAGTACCCTCTGGGTCTCTCTGTATGACCTGTCTCTGGCCCCTGCAAAGACAGCAGCTCTCAGGCTGAGTGATTGCTCTCATCACTGACCATCAAGCTCAGTGAACTATTAACCTAAATCAGGGGCACCACTACCAAATGCTGCATTATGTTTTTGGCACTTCTTGCGCAGAAATTCTTATTGATGTTTTCCATGAGCAGGCATGTACTAAAAACAGGGTGGAGAGATTCCACTCGCCCCTGTTTGTCACCTCTGCCTCAGGCTTTAGGTAAGAGGCAGGAGAGAAGCCGACAGAGCTAGTTTCAACACACCGAGGAAAAAAAAATAGCAAGAGCTGTCCAAGTGAGAAATGCGGGGTGAAATATGACATGCTGAACAGCATCTTTCAATCCATTATGTCAAATTTTTGACTGAGGTGAGCTAAAGGCACATATTGGCGGACCACCACTCCTAACCCCCTATGCACCCTGCAGGAAATTGTCTCACTCTTGCCAGATAGACCTCCCAGATAAGAGGCCAGGTAATGAATCAAAGTGAAGGAACTGACATTTCTTCCCTTTTTCCCTCCAATTCCTACCCCCCTCAACCTCCCATCTTATCCCAGGCAGTGAAGAGCGGACTGAAAACAACCTGCAAGTGCCATGGTGTCTCCGGCTCTTGTGCTGTACGGACTTGCTGGAAGCAGCTGTCTCCTTTTCACGACACTGGACGCCTGTTGAAGTATCGATACGACACTGCTGTGCGAGTGCTGAGCGTCACCAACGCAGCCACCGGGGAGACCGAACTCGCAAGCCCCCGTCGCCAAGGTCAGAGCCTCCGGACTACCGACCTGGTCTACCTGGAAGACTCCCCCAGCTTCTGCAGGCCCTCTCGCTACTCCCCTGGTACAGGTGGCCGTTCGTGCGCCAAAGACACAAGCTGTCAGAGTCTGTGCTGCGGTCGTGGTTATAACACAGCCATGCGCCTCACCAGCCTGTCTTGCCACTGCCAGGTACGCTGGTGCTGCCACGTGGAGTGTCAGACATGTGTGAGAGAGGAGGAGGTATATACCTGCAAAAATGCATAGCTGCATGATGAGATAAAGACATTTGCAAAGACCTGAATAAAGAATGATCCTTTGAGTCAATGGAAAATGTGATTTAAAAAAAAATGAATCACTGATCATGGACAGGACTGAACTGTAATCTCCTATAGACACTTAACACTAAGGGATTGTGAACTGCATGGAATATACAAATGTAATAATATTATACTGCTGGTTATAGTCACTAAATTGATATGCAACAGCTTACTGTAGGTGAGGATGTTTTCAAACTACCCTGCTTTTCTCTCGCTGGATGCACTGAAATCTCACTCTCCTGAGGATGAGGAGGGAAAATGCTCTTACAGCAGGTACTGGACCGGACTGGAAGACACCGGATGCTGAATCCTGTCTGCAAGGAAGCTCTAAAAGGGATTTTGTTGTGTTGTAATTGTCTCCCTCCATTTCACTATTTATTGTGCCAGTTTTGTTGTACTGCTGCTTTATATTTTAATTCTTGGAATCAATTGTTATCAATGAGGCTAAAATAGCCTTTAAAGGAACCTACCTGTCTGACTTTCTGTCTGCTGTGGTGAACTTTTAGCTAAAGTTCAGTCCTGACTAAAAAGCACTTAAGTTGCTCTTGCTTCATGAGATCCTATGTGCATTATGAATTGTTTGTCTTTAGGCCTAAATATATGATTAGAAAGAATCACTGGAAGCTTTGAGCAGTGATTAATGCCACACAACCTACATTGTAACTGATGCATGAGAAGCTTATTGTGCAAGCAGAGAAGCTGGCTTTCAGTTGCTCTTATGGAAATGTCTATGGAAATCTTTACATGTGGACTAATGTGGGCTCAGTAGAACAAAGGGAAATACCTGGGGCAATAGTGAGGGAAACACCAAACACTGTGGTTAAAAATCACTTTTTTGCTTAATTTATCAGCATACCAGCCTGGCTCTTCTAATTCTGCTGTTTATAGAAACACACACTTTGCTATGCTTTCAAGTTTAAAATTATTTGGCCGAACCATTTGGTCTTCAAAGTCTAATTTAGCCACGTCTTTGTTCTGACTGCCTTTGAAGTGGGCTAATCATGCTCCTTATTTGCTAAAATTGCTAATCAAAGACAATCACCCAGTTTACTACCCTTATATATTCAACTTCAATGTGTCCATGTGTGCAGGTCAAAAGTGCGTGCCGGACCCCAAAGGTTTGTTTTTATTGGCCAGTTAATGTTTTCTCTGAGGGACTCTGAACTGTATATATAATCTGAGTATAACTCATGTCAGGGGTCCTGGCGTCTGACAATGTGGAATCATAATTTTCTACCTCACTTCATCTTTTGGCAAATATCAGTAAGATTTATGAGCTATGCAGAGTTATCCTCTCTGTAGATACATGTTTTCCCCTCTGCATTCGTTATAAATATCATATTTGAGATGTTTGTACAGCTCTTTTTAATTTGGTAATATATGAATACTCATTTTTCCAAAGCAAGTTTTATAAAAATCTAGTTGCTTTACATTCTTATTTAAAACAAACAAGGTTAATAAATGGACAACGAGTCACAAGGCCTACGTGTTTGTTGTGTCTTGCTCAGTTGCTGCAGGCAAACACACTAAACCATGCGCACACACACACTTCACACGCAACAAGGAAGCGAGCGCAATACACCTGCCCGAAACACGGCTCTGTGCATCGACTGAGCAAAAAACCACTTCCTGCTCATGGTGGCCTGGCCTCCTTTTCATCTGAAAATCCTGTGGTCGTGCTGCATCGCCATCAACCGCCCAACCGAAAGGCGAGGGCTGCGTGCGCGGAGAACACGCTTACAGGTGTTGTGCCTCTGGCCAGCGCACCAGCCGCGATGACAACCATAATGCAGATGATGACAAAGGTGGTGACTCAGAGGAGCGCTGTGTTTCAGAGCATTTGACCCCCAATTCACCATTAGAAAGTTACAATCGACCGCCCCACAACGATGATGAGAGCAGTTTATGTGCTATTATCCCTGAATCATAACTTTCCACTCATTTGCAAGGCATCAGTGAACCTACAGCATACAGAGGGCTATTGTATAAGGTATTTATAGTGTGCTCTCTGGTGCTTTTGATGTTGCTCTCTAATTACTGTGATTACGCATTATTATTCCTTATTAGAACATTCACTTAAAACCCAAAGCATTGCAGTAAATTATAAGATAATTTTTTAAATTACTTTATATTATTGATGTAGAGCAAGTTATTGTTGGGGCAAATTCGTTTTTAAGTAAGATGAGTAAACTTGTCTTGGCTGTTCAGATATTTTAATGAATTTTTAGGACTACCTTGCATAGAAGAAAAAAACAGCTGTTTGCTTTAATGGCAAAACTTTATGGAGAGCCAAATGTCACCTTGGGGAAATAGGGAAAGGTTAGCTTGGGTAATAGAGAAAAAAAATCTTAAATGTTTTCTTGTTTTTGTCGAAAACTATTCCAAAACCAAACATATGTATGCAAATATTCAAAGTTTCAGTTTTACTAAACTTCATGTATTTTCACTATGATACATATCCGGCTTCAGTGATTTGAATTCTGACAGCTCGTTAAAGCCACTGCAGAGCCTTTAAAGGTATTTTACCTCAAGCAATAAAATGCACCACTGCTTACTATGAATCACCAGCGGCTTACTCTAACTCTGACTTTATGATATTTCACCTTTTTTGTTTCCCATAGTCTTTAGGACAGTTTCACATACTTTCCCAAAGCCTTAAGCTAACATGATCATTTAAAGAATCACTTGGTTAAATAGGGCAGTTTTTTTTGTTTTTTTTAGATATTGAAGAGTTCATACTTTAGTGATATGTGATCTCCACTGGACCGCAGCAAGATTCTTTGGTCTGTCCAGCAACTGTATTGTATTGCCTCTTTGAACCTTTGAATGTGTCCTTTGCTGCAAAACTAATTTCCCTTCTCAGACAATAAAGTTGAAAAATTCAGTTCAGCAGTACACAAAATGCGTCAGCATCTCTCCAATGACTGAGGTCAAACCAGTTCGTGTGGTCAGACTACTGACTCACCACATTAACTCATCATATTATAATAATCCAGATCAATATTTAACTTTATTCATCATGAATGTCATGTATTAAAAAGCTGCAGGATAAAGAGCAAGACGGTGGAGTGTGTCACGGAAAGAAAGGTGGAGCAGGGTTTAGATATTGAGGGACATGAAGGAAAAAGATGAGGATGGAGGGATGAGAAGGGATAGCTTGTGGCCCCGGGAGGCCTATCCCCTGCTGCTGCTCTTGTTGTTTTATAATGAACTCCTAAAGCTTTCATTTCCCTCACTACCCTCACTGGAGGGGGCGCAGCGATGGGGGCTGCTGAGTCCACGGCCGGATTCGCACGCACAAGCCCCAGGGGTGGGGAGCTTTGAGCTGGGTGGGGAGGCTGGACTGAGCAGAGGTGCAATAGCCAAGCGCCTGTGTATGTGTTTGAAAGAGTCCTGACAGCAGACAGGTGAGGGCGAAACGGTTTTTGCATATGTGTGTGTGAGCATACTTGCCGAGTGCACACCTGTGGTCACTTCAGCCGTGTTTGTAGTGAGGTCTTCGTGTGCGGGTGTGGGCTATAGTCACCCTGCCATGTGCCGGAGCTTCTCTCTGTCTGCCTGAGACACTGAATAACATAGATAATGTAGGTTAAGGCTGATGGTAACACTATCTCCTGTGTCTTCACCGGCTTGGTTCAGGTAAAGGTTACTATGCCGGGTTGGGCTGCAGCAGTGCACCATGCTGTGATAGATGAAGATGAATTGGCAAATCAGGGCTGGGGCATTTTTTCAGATATGTATTATATTTGCGTTGCTTAGCAAAAAGATATTATCCATAGAGACTTACATAGCTTTCAGGTTTATACATCACTCATTTGTGTAAGAACAGTAGATGTTAACTCAAGCGTGGAAGGCTTGGTAGATACTTTGCTCAAGGACACAAAGCGAAGTCCTGTCCTGTAATCGAAACCTCTGAGCCCCAGGTCAAACATCTACACCCTACAAGACTTCCGCCTCTGGAGAGGAGACTCTTAGACAGCATTGGAGCTGTGCCTAATCCCCACACCCTGACATCACACGGAGATAATTAAATAATGAAGACGACGAGGAGAGGAATGGATTTGGTGAAGAAGAAGAGGGAAAAGAGAGATACAGAGAGTTGTGAATACAGCATGGGGTAGGAATTTGGAATGTGAAATGACTAATGCAGTTGCTCAACCCACAACAAGAACATGCACTGCCTAGAGCTATGACAAGGCTGAGTGCATACCTCGAACTCAGAGGGCTGGGTTGGACTGGGATGGTGGCTGAGTTCCTCGCAGTAGGTGATGAGATAGCGCATGCCTGTTTGATGGTCAATTAAGCGGGCACAAGGTTTAAATGATGAATAGTTTAGTTTGTTCACCTGCGGATGGAGAAAAACAAGAAGAGCTGACAGGTATTACAATACAAATGATTAGTTCATACAAATTAATATAGGATACTAAATCAATCAAAGGAAAAATATGAAACTTGGAGTACAGGCTTTGCCTTAGAGCTGAAATTTACTGACAAGGTAATCAACTGAAGAATGAATGAGGATCTATTTTGTCTGTCAATAAAACATTGAAATCATTTTCTTTTCTTTTTGTCTCTCATAAATCAGAGTTGGAAGGGATAAGCAGCCTCATGGTTCTTAGAGGGAACCAATATCATCGTTGACCGTTTGTGGATCTTCACATTTTTCAAAAATTTATTTAATTTCTTCTAAACTGAACTGATTTAATTCCAATTTAAATCCTTCTAAGCTTATGGTGTTTTTAAGCATGTTAGCACTGTAGACAGTTTAATAGATGGATGTAGCTTGGTCTAAAAATTGAAGATCACAGGCAGTGGCTTAAGCCTGCATTCTTTTTCATCGTCACCGAGGGAAGACTCAGAAAAATTATCCGGTTTTAAATAAATTTGCAGCAAAATAGTCCCGTCTCCCTTGTTCAGTGACCTCACTAATTGATCCTGATGACTTCATGAGCTTACACACTGAATAGAACATTAGGTCCATTAGTGCATTCATTTGCTCTCTTCTCGTTCCCCTCACCCCCAACATGGGTTGATCAAAGTGCAGTGCAACTAAAAGGAATAGACAACACATTAAAAAACAAAACTAAAATGTAATAAACTCACTCCCATTTAAATGCTAGGGCGTAAAGATGTGTCTTCAAGTGGGATTTAAAAGATGTGGAGAGTTGGTGAGGTTCTATCCCCTGCAACACATGCAACTATAGCAAAAGCCTGTGTCATCTGTGCTTTAGGCTCAGCTCACCTTAAAGTATGCATAGTTTTAAGTTCAGAAAGAGGGTACGAATTGCAAGGGAAGATCTGATTATTGGGCTTTTCTCTGTAATATTGCAAGGACTTTACCTTACAATATAAAGCACCTCAAGGGGACCGTTCTTGTGATTTGGTGCTATACAAATAAAACTGAATGTAAATCGACATGAATTGAATTCATTTTATGCAACTTGTCCAGGTTGCAGGGGGAATGGTTTAAGCAGAAACACAGAGACTTTCCTCTCCCCATCTACCTCCTCCAGCTCTTCCAGTGGGACCACAAGGTGTTCCCTTGCCGGCCAAGAGATATGATCTCTCCAGCATGTCCTGGGTCTGCCCCGGGGTCTCCTCCCATTAGGACATGCCTAAAACATCTCACCTAGGAGTTACCCAGAGGGCGTCCAAGTCTGATGCCTGAACCTTCTCAATTTAGTGGCTAACCTCCTACTGAATGACACCCATCTTTGAGGGAGAGCCCAGACACCCACAGAGGAAGTTAAATTCCTTGTATCCAAGATCTCTACCAGTCACTACCCATAGTTTGCAGCCATAGATTTTCCAGTAAGTTTCAAGCTTTGATTTCACTCTAAGATCTTTTGTTTCCAAATATCTTCTTTCTCCCTGAGGTTTGGGTTCTCGAACCTGTTGAGATCCATTTGTTTTTGTTTGAGCTACCCATCTGTAAAGTCTTGAGACTCCTTCACAGGTTGTGATTTAATGGTTTGGACAAAAACATTCCACAAACACACACAAACACCTGCCAAAGTACTGAAAACTACAATGACAGCGCCGATGACACATTCACAGGCAGACTCACACAGAATGGGTTGATTTCTGGTAGTTTTTAAAAAAGTATAACACAGGAGTGCTGATGAACTGGTTTTACATAACAAAGATACCTGCAGATGTTTACCTGATTCCTCTTGAACTGTCCATTCTCAAGCCCCACAACTACCCACCCATTGGGAAGCTCCTGTGGGAGGCTGTTCTCATGCTACTCCACAGAAACACCTGCAGCACCAACAGAAGAGTTTACATGGCAGCTGCTGTGATAAGAGCCCACACACCTACATAACTGACTCCTCTGCTCGATAAATGGCACTCCTCTTGCTTTTTCTCTCACAGCCACATGTGCACACTGCACACACACACACACACACATGCATACACTCACTGACCTCCATCACAATCAAAACTAAACTTTCCCACATCAACTATGTCCAGGAAAGAAAAACACAGATAATGTTCTGAGCTATGTCTTCTCCCCAACCGGCAACATCTCTGAAAGAGAAGTCTGGTATGTTGCCTGTGATTATTTGTGATACCAATACCTACACAATTATGCTGTCTGCTGGCTTTATTTCCACCAGTGTTCACAATTCAATCATGATTCTCATTAAAGGGATGCAGGTAGACAAAAACATTTCTTTTGAGCTCTGTACACCACACAATTT